GCGTGTGTGCATGGACATACGTGTTTGAGTTTGTGTGAGTGTTTGCGTGTGTGTTGGTGTGTGCGTGCGTGTTTTTGCATGTTTGAGTGTACATATGTACTTCTCTATGCGTGCTTTTGTGAGTGTATGTCTTTGGATGTACATATGCGTGTATTTGAGTGTACGCGTATGTAAGTGTACATGAGTGCGCGCGTGTGCTCGCGTACGTCTGTGTGTATGAAGCTGAACCGGAGAAAAAAGATAACACGTGCGTTTTGGAAACAACATGCGATAAATACTGGTGATATTCGTTTGCATATTGCCGACCGCCATATCGCTATGTGTAAGCGCAAAAGGGCTTCCTCATCAAATGATCAACGCCTAATGGCGTCATCATTGCGCATTTAGGCTGCAGTAAACACTGGAAAATCTAATTATATCAGACAGAAAAACATTGTCTGTTTACTTAAAATAACGAGACAAATCAAAACAGACAAGTTTTATCATATCGGAATTATTTCTTTTCTATTTTTTTATAAACCGCCATCTTCTCGCAAGATGTACATGATCATGACTCTCCACAGATTTATTTTCTTTACGATTCATTTTTGCGAAAGATAGTGGAGAATTATCTTTTTACCGGGTGTAACAGCAAAATTGTCCAAATTGTGTATAAGCAAAATTGTCCATGTGTTAGATTAAACTTTGAACCGTTGTATCTTAGAAATGATTAAAGATATTTTACTGGAATTCTCCGAGTTTTTTTTTTCAATATTGGACTCTACTTTGAGCAATAAGAATATATAATTACTCTCCAAACTTAACAGAAGAATCATGATGAAATCGATCATAAACAAAAATGACATGTTCATCATTAAGTAATCATAGCTAAAGATCGAAAGCTCATGAATGATTGAAATAAAGTTCAAATATATATATATATATATTTATATATATCTATATATATATATATATATATATGTGTGTGTGTGTGTGTGTGTGTGTGTGTGTGTGTGTATTATTCCAAGATCATTTTCCAACTTATTCAAGATGATCTTCACCCTCTCTAAACTTTTAACTTTCTGTCCTGGAGTAACAAGATACCTCACAGGTTTCACGCAAGATTTTTATTTTCAGTTTTTTTTTTCACTGCTCTATGGACTGTCATAGCTGAAAATCCTCTCTTATATGCCAAATGCCTTGAATTGAGTTGGTTGTTTTCTAATTGATCTCTTTAGCTCTAACTTGAAATGATGATCCCCTTCGCTGTTGTGACCTCCCGCTCCATTTTTCCTCTCGACTGTTCTCTCTAATGTTTATTCACCGTTCTCTTGATGGTTCTTGAATGGACTTTGAAGATGAAATGCCAGCGTCTGAATGTTGGTACCATTGCTGACGGCTTGAATGATCTTTTTCCTCTCAACATTGCTCAGTTGGGAAGACATAATGGGATTGACACAAAACGATTTTAACCTGTTCTCTTTTCTAGCTATATAACTCAAAGTGTTTTTCAGTGGTTCTTACGGCACATGGTGTCGTGATTGCTAAACGTCTTATCTGAAAACCTGGAAAAAGAAACTCAATTAGTTTAGTGCTTCATTTTAGATATTAAACATTTTGTTGGATGAACAAATATGCTGTTACACGATTTGAATAATTTTGCTGTTACACCGGGTACATGCTTTGGAATTCAGAGTTTTGTTTCCCTTAGACCGGTTGTCACACAAGGCTAAAGAATGTAGTCTACAACTGCTATATCAGCCATAGCTGGAAAAAGAGGCGGATACTTTTGCGAATGTGAACATGACAGACTAACCCGGAATTCGAACTCGACTCGCTGATTGCATTTTCCGTGCCGGTATCCATTAAACTACCCACTACCATCAAGCATTATAGATTCTACATTAAGCTTACTTTACTCCAGCACGTGACCGAATCGGAGGATAAACCAGCTTAGAATATTGTCCTAATCACAAAGGCAGGGGACTCTGCTAGTCTTGAAAACCAGACATTCGCTTTCTTGTTTTTTATTGTGCTTGGAGGCATCATCATGGGGCAAAATGAGGAAGGAGCGCTTGGGAAACTTAGCCCTCACTGGGCGCATCGAGGGCAAGAGAGTTAGGGGAAGGTACCTGACGCACTTGTGTGAATCGATGGCGGAACGGGAGTAGAAGCAAAAGAAGGAACGCTGCTAAGGACCACAAGGGATAGGAAGCTGTGTAGAGCCATGATCACCCACATCCTGAACGGACACGGCACAAAGAAGAAGAAAAAGAAGAATAGGAAGCCCTCAGAGTTTTACTTCTCAGGATCTAGTGACTGATCCAAGTGCTCTAATTATCATAGGCACTACCTAAATTCTCATGTTCCACAGACTTTTCAGTTACGTGTGAAGATTCTGAGTTTTTTTTTCAGAAAAATCTTCCTTTTTTTTTCACCTGTGGAAAAGTGTAAGACATATATGAAATCTTTATGGTTGTTTTGAAATTCCGATATATTTCATATATCCGAAAAAAATTTACTTTAACGCTTCTAATAATATTTCACAATATGCAAAATAAAACTGTCCACATGAATTTATCTATCGAGTGAGGATATGCGTGTGTATGTGTGTATGCGCGTGCGCGTGTGTGTGATAACTGTTTTGTGTTAGTTGACACTGCTGTCATAAATGGATTTATTCACATGCAGGCCTATAGCTACCATCAAAGAGGTTTTCAGATTCTCACTGTTATTTTATTAAAGAAAGAATACCCAGTAGGCCATATTTTAAAACTTTTTTTTTCATTCCTCGAGAAAAAAAAAATACCTTCCCTCCAATAATAAAGAAAAAAAACATTCAAAATGGAAAAAGCAATGAATTTTTTAATATCATTATTTTTATTGCTTCCTGAGACGGTCACGATCTTGTTTGCTTTTGTTTTAGAATTATTTTATGTCAGTTGTTTTTCTTTTTTAAGAAATTTCGTTGAAAAATAAGAATAAAAGAAGGTTGTCAAAAAGTAGAAGGAAACTGAGAAAGAAGTACTTTACAAAAACAATGATCAAAAGAAAGAAAGAAAGAAAGAAAGAAAGAAAGAAAGAAAGAAAGAAAGAAAGAATAAAAACAAGTAGCAAGAGAGGAAAAGAAAGAAAAGTAACAGAAGGAACAGAAAAGAACAAAAAAAAACACAAAAGAGGAATAAACAAATCAAGAAAACGAAAGGGACAGAAAGAAAGAAAGAAAGAAAGAAAGAAAGAAAGAAAGAAAGAAATAAAGAAAGAAAGAAAGAAAGAAACAAGTAGCAGGAAATGAAAAGAAAGAAAAGTAACAGAATGAACAGAAAAGAAAGAGTACAAAAAGAAGGGAGGAATAAGCAAATAAAAAAAAACGAAAGGGAAAGAAAGAAAGAAAGAAAGAAAGAAAGAAAGAAAGAAAGAAAGGAAAACATGAAATAGAGAAAAGAAAGAAAAGAAAAATACGTGAAGAAAAAACGAAAGAAAAAAAGAAAAAATCAAGAAAAAATGATATTAAAAAAGAAAGAAGAAAGAAAGAAAAATGTGAAAGAAAGAAAATCGAGAAAGAACAAAAACGAAAGGAACAGAAAAAGAATAAAAAGAAAAGAAAGAAAAGAGAAAAATACACGAGGAAAGAAAGAGAACATTCGATTTGGTGTAAACAGGAACAGATTTAACGAAAAACGAAAAAGAACAGAGAAATAAAGATGCTGTATGATGATTGTATATGAGAAAGAAAAAGAGAATATAGAATAGCACTAACGATAAAGATAACGTTTTTTATCTAAATATAAAATTGGAGACTCGTCTCATCTTGGGTAGCAGTAATGGAACTTTACTAGTTAATGCTAATTAACACTGACAGGAAGACAGAAAAAGGAACCTCATATATATATATATATATATATATATATATATATATATATATATATGCCCTGATGTTAAGGCTGTTTTCCAGCTTCTGTCCTTTAAATAAACAATAAGGACTAAAAATTAGAAGGAAGAAAAGCAGTTTTTGAAAAATCTGAAATCATGTTCCATTTTCTTGGAAGTTCATCTAACATGGACTACCCTTTACCAATCTGACCACAGAAACACCTCAAAACGTTTAAATTAAGGTATATTATTACGACCTTCTTTAAATTACACGCTGCTTATTTCAGAGTTTCAGATGACATTTAAGGAATGACCCTATAGAACTTAGGCGACATTGTCTCTCTCTACAGGTTCCAATATATGGATAGGGCGTCATCAATAATTAATATGTTCATCTTGAAGACTAATGCTATTTTGGGGAGTTAAAACTGTAGTTAATGCGCCATTGGTAGCCTTTATTAACACTTCCGCTGCTAACTACGGAGATCTTTGTTTTTCTTATCTTGCTCCAGCTGGCTAAGTACGGAAACCTACGTTTTTTTTGCATACCGCTGTTATGAGTGTCACGTTGCGCCATCTATCGTCAAATCAGAAAGGACAATGCTTCAAAAGATATTATGTGTTTACCCATTACTAATCTGGTAAGTCATTCCCAGGTATATCCATGAAAATGGAAGGCTGTAAAACACACTGGTGCCAGTTTTCTGTGTAATAAAATATGTAGGTTGAAATTTGGCATTTTCTTTAAAAATGGCTGGCCGGATGGGGGCAGCACTGGGCAAATGAGTAGAAGTGAAAGTGTTAAGTTTTTTTTATGCCATGCCCTTCATAAAATTTTTCATTAAAGTATTGCCATGACTTCTGGGAAAAGATTGTGGATTAGTTAACCGTTCCGTTCTTTGTGGTTTGAATTCAGATCTGTTTTCATCAAGATTGGCTGCTAATACTGTTTAACTCATAAGGAAGTAGAGGTGGATTCGTGTTTTTCCTAAGGACATTTGTCCAAAGGTGAATGCAACAGACGAGGTGGGAATTTGAAACCGGCTCGCCGATTTCACTTTTAAAACGTATATTACCCAAGATTTTAGTCTGAAAAACGTAAGAACTAAAAGAAAAGTGTAAAAGAAACTAATAAAATCGTGCCAGTC